GTATTCTGGTTTCATTTCCTGATTTTTGTTTTTATATAAATGGCAACTTGGCACAACTGGGCTGTGAACAAATCTCCAAGAGGACCCTAAAACCCATGGCATAGCTGCAAGCTAAGCGTTGATGGCTTGGTATCTGCCTGTTACTCCTCAGAATCGCTGCACTGCGTGTGTGCCCTCCTTATGGGACTTCATTTGATACTTGTCTGTCCTTCCCAGGACCCTCTGCTTTTAAAGGGTTTATATACTGAGAACTGCTGTGGCCTTTTATGATGTATATAAAGTAGAATAAAGTAATAAAATACTTGATAGCTTTTTCTAAGTGATAAATGTATTAAGATAATGTTGTATTGTCATTTGTGCTTTTTGAGGGTGTTTGAGACCTTGAAATATGTTTAAAATATTGGCTTCTTAAAGGTAATTTTTATAAGTTTGCCAAAGGATCATTATTCAGCAGCAGCTCAGCAGAACGTACTCTGCAGATGGCAGATTCTTTTGTGATTACTTTAGTAACATGTTACTTTTCCAGTCTTTGATAAAAATAAAGGGCAGAGCCTGAGCATGAGAAATGACTGTATCTCTGTTAAAAACTGGCTGCAGTTCAGGGCCTTACTTAGGGCTTTATCCCCTGCATACTGGTGCTTTTGTTGTGGTGGTGGTTATTTCTGTGACTTTTAGTTTTCAAGACAGGATCGAGGCTAGCACTGAATTCTTACTCATCCACGGCTGGTAGTGAACTTTTGGTCCTCCTGTGTCCCGAGTGATTGGCTGTGCTCATTTAATTTTAATTTTAATTTTGTCTTTTTGAGACAGGATCTTTGTGCAGTTCAGGATGGCATTGAGCTTATTTTGTAGCCCAGGCTGGTCTTGAACTTGCAGTGATCCTCCTGCCTCAGCCTCCCAAGTGCTGGGATTATAGGGATGCACCTCCACACCCAGCTAACTTGTGTTATTTGTACGGTAGTGTAAGCTCAGTAATTCTGTATGGGTAGAAGAGTGCGGCAATGAGAGCATTTCCTCTGGCAAACTCAGCCCCTCCAGTTCTGCAGTCTGGTTATAAATGCTAGATACCTCGTGTAGGTGTTTGCTGTGTCAGACCGTGTATTTCGTGTGACATTATTTATCATGGTACCACTAGTAAGTAGGTTTTATAAGATAAGAATCTTGGGGGGCTTGCTGGTTAGCTCAGTTGTTTAAGCACCAGCGTAGGCAAACCGAGTCAGGCTTACGGGACTGTGGTTCGATCCCCAGCTCCACATGCCACACCACACCCGCACTTAAGGCAGCCTGAGCCACCCCCCCCCCAAAAAAAAGTCCTACAAAATAAGGTTCTGGAGTTTTAATTAGGAGTGGTGGTACATACCTGTGATCCCAAGAGGCTGAGGCAGAAAGATCACAAGTTGGAGCCCAGCCTGGACAGATTAGTGATTTAGCAGGACCCTGTCTCAAAAAAGGGCAGGGAATATAGCTCAGTGTGAAGAATCTGGAAATTGTTTTTTGGTATTGGGAATCAAATTCATGACCTTGTGCTTGCTAGGCAGGTCCTGTGCCCCAGACCTGTATCCCTGGCACAAGAGTCTGGAATTTTGAAGATAATTGAGGGACTGCTGACTGGAGTCATTGGTGCTTACTGCTAGGCCTGCTAGGGAGGCTAAGGCAAATACTGGGCCATGAATTTTTTTTTTTTTTTTTTTTCTGTACCCGGGATTGATCTCAGAACCCTGTGCTTGCCAGGCAGGTGCTTTGCTCATTCTATTGAGCTATCTCCCTGGCCCCTGGACCAAGAAACTGTATCAAAGTCATATTGTATAAGGGCTGGGACTGAGATCAGCAGCACTGGATTCAGCACCTCATATTATAAACACAATAAGACAAAACAAAACAAAAGCTATAATAGTTTGTAGACATGCAGTGGAAGCTTTTAACTGGCCAGGAAGGGACATTGGCAAAGCATGCTGGTAAGTGGAAGTTTTGGCCTGGGGAATCTCCTGGCTGCATTGACTGTTGAGAACATCTGGGAATGAGATGTGGAAGTCCTGTGGGAGAGTGAGAGCTCACCTTGTGTCAGGGTTTCGGTGTGGTGGGCGACAGTGGGGCTGGAACCCCAAGCATGCTGTCTGCACCGTGTTTTATAGAAACTGCCCCTCCAAGGGGAGCTGCGGGCTTGCTATACCTTTGGAGATGTGAGCTCAGGGATTGAGAGGTCTGGACTGAACAGATGAATTTGACCAGCTTAGTTACTCGAAGGTTCTGAAGAGTTCTTCTTGGGTTTAGAAAGGCACAAAGAGAGGCTTAGGGGGACACTATCCTGTGAGCATCTCACAGAAGAGTGCCTGAGAAGGACTGAGCAAGGTCCTGAAGTCAGAGATGAGTGGAAAGGGAATAATTGGGATAGGAAGGATGGTTGGCACTGCCCTGGCACAGCGGAAGACGGCAGGAGGGCAGCGTCTGGGTCTGGGTTATAGAGGTGGCAGCAGCTTTGTGTTTAGACCTGTGCCTGTTGCCGAGCTTCAGAGGGGGGACTTTCTAATTGCCAGTTATGGAAAAGTATATGATTTTTTTTTTTTTTTTTCATTTTTTGAGATAGGGTCTCAGTGTATAGTTCAGGCTAGTCTTGACCTCACTGTGTACCCCAGGCTGGCCTTGAACTCACAGTGATCCTCCTGCCTCAGCCTCTCAAGTGCTGAGATTACAGGCATGTGCCACCACATCCAGCCTTGTATGGTTCTGTTGTTGGTTCTTTATTTATTTTTTTTTAATATTTATTTATTTATTTATTTATTTATTTGTGTGTGGCCAGCTCAGCCCACCAGGGGGCGGGGGCTGGCTGGCATGTGGTGCTGGGGGATTGAACCGTGGTCCCTGTGCTTTGGCTGAGCTTGTTCTGAGTAGGTGCTTTAGACCACTGAGCCATCTCACCAGCCCTTGTTGGTTCTTTATGAAAACGTCTAGCCTTACCTGTGTGGACATGATGGTTCTCTTTCACAAGAATTAGAAAAAGCACTGTCTTCCCAGTTTATCTTGTTCAAAAGAGAAATTAACCTACATGCTAAGAATATGACTGTTACAGACAGTTGAGCACAGCTGGATGGAATCCAGGGCTTTTCCATCACGGAATATCCCCTTTGTTTGAGGGTCTTGCCAAGTTACCTCGGCTGGGTTCAGACATCGTCATCCTGTCTCAGCATCCCAGAGTGCTGGGATTGCAGGCATGCGTAACCACACTGGGCACAGCAGTGGTATTTCAATTGTTTTTGCTTGCTTTGCTGCCCAGCGAGCAGATTCATTGCTCTGGATGGGTATACGGCCGTATTGCAGTCCGGCTGTAGTTCGCCTAAAGTTAAGACTGCTGGGAGTAGCGATTGCAGAAGTATCTTCCATCTGTTTCAGGCTCCTGAGCCTTCTGGCAGGAACAGAACAAAAACAGAAAAGGAAAGAGGTTTTTTTTTTTTTTTTTTTTAGAAGAAGGAAAGGTTTATTTAGCTCACAGTTTGTGCAAGTTTTAGTCCATGCTCAGCTGGCGCCAAGACAGAGCAGCACGTGGCAGAGGATAGCAGTTCATGGTGGTGGAAAACAGCAAGATCAAATGGGAGTAGTGGCAACAGTGGCTACAGAGAGCAAGTCCAAGAAAGCGATTTTTATTCCCCCGCCTCACAAAAATAAAATACCTTGGACTATTTGTGCAACAGAGTGGTTGAAAATATTAGTTACTGCCTTTTTTTCCCATACAATTTACACCCCGTCATTGTGTTGTGTTCATTGAAGTAGATACTTGCTTTGAGGAGTTCATTATGTGAATGACTTTTCTTTGACCTTACAGACCATTCCTGCAGTCATCTTCACCTATGGCTTTTTCTGTGAAGTTGGGGCCTCATTTAGCAGTATTCTAGACTCAGAGGACGTGCCGTGCCAGTCTCCCTGTCTCAAGAGGAGCCTGAGGAGCATTTGTTCTCCATGCTGTTCTGGTGTAGTCACTGTCTCAGTCACTCTTCTCTTGTTCCGGGACAAATACTTAACACCCAAAATGAAGGAAGAAAGGGTTTATTTAGCTCACAGTGGCGGTTTCAGTTCATACTCACCTGGCTCCAAGGCAGAGTGGCACATGGCACAGAACTCTTCTTGGCAGCGGCAAAGAGCAGCAGCAAAAGGGAGTAGTAGTAGTAGTAGTGGTGGCTACAGAGAGCAAGTCTGTTTCCCTTATGTTGCATTCAGGCTGTCCGCAGGCTGGGTGTAGTACTCACACCATAATCCCAGGGGATCATGAGTTAATCACAAACTCTAGAAGTCTGCCCCATGACAGCATGAGGCTTCAGGGGGACAGCTAGACACAAAACATAATAGTGGTTGAGTGTGACTTTCTCTGAGGTAGGAATGTGGACTGGACCTGGCAGGCCACGTTTTCTGTCAGTCCATCATCAGGCTTGGAGATACTTACTGCCCTTTTTGGGGTGGGGGTGGGGCGGTTCTTTGGCCTAGAAGAATGTGTTTGTGGATTCTGTGTCACATTCTTACTCTTTGTGTATTACAGTTAAAACCGTTTTCCATTTATTTATTTTCAAGCATTAGTAAAATGAAGTAGAAAATGGAAAGTTAAGAGTAACACCTTACATCCTACTACGCAGCTCAAGCAACCCAAAGTTACGTTTCAGAGCAGGATAACAGTGAGTATAGTTGCCATCTATAAAATAAAAGATTGGGGACGCACTGTGGCTATATCTAATAATAGCTCATAATTTCTGGATCTGTCACCTGTAATTATATGCATAGAAATCCGCACCTCAGTCTGTAGATTTATGTGGATGTATCTGCTTTGAATAAGCTACAGAGTTTTTGTTGTTCAACAAATATTTAGCACTTTCTCAGATCTCTGTGCAAGAATAGCAGATTCTTATAGCCATCCAGCCTATCATGAGGGGACTTTCTTGGACATTGTTGGAGTTATTAGAAAGCTCATTGTATTTATTGAAAGAAAGCAAACTTTTTCGAGGTGCGAACAGGAGAGGATTTTAATACATTCACCAAATTAAATGAAAAGACAAGAACACACTGTTGACACAAGACAACTTTAAATCATAAACAAAATGTGAGGTAGACTGACTAGTGAAATTCACCAAATTTTGGTTAAGTTTTACAGTAATAAAATAACAGGTGTTCCCTTTTCTAAGTCACAAAAAGCAGTTGCATAAATTACAGCAAAAACAAAGGAACTACAACAGTTCTAACTTCTAGTTTACGTTCAGCATTAACCTCTGTGAACTGTCATACACGCTGCGGTTCAGCTGGTCACGAGGTGCGTTCCCGTGCGGGTCTTGCAAACCTACTTGCCCCACATTAGTGTCTACAGGGTAGAAAAGCCTAACACTGAACACACTGAGACATATATTAACAGATCATGGCGTCCTGTGCTTGTGCAATTTTATCCTTCAAGAGGACTTAACATTCTTTAAAGAATGACACTGATAAAAAGATTTTCAAAGATTCAAGCCTTAATAAGCTAGGGTTTGAAAAGAATAGATCAGTGTGGATTTCTTCATTGGGGTGATGGCCTTTTAGCTTTCTTCTGACGTTTGTCGTCTAGAGTTGGACAGTAGTTATGAGCTCATAATCATTTGAATTTACAGAGTGCAGCCCTAACTAACATGCAGTACTAGCATTAAAACAACTTTAAGAAACGTTCTTTAGACCATGAAGTTACAAAGCCCAAAGAAACTTTAAGAGGCTGTCTGCCCCAGGTACAATTGTTTTAAAATTACTTCATGTACTTTCTTTCCTCTATGTAGTAAATGTCGGAATATTGCACAAACAATGGAACTCGTGATATCACGTATATCAGTCCTTTTTAAAGAAACAGAACATGTGAAATACACTCATAACTCAACCCAGCTGTTCAGAATGTACCTCTTGGCCAAAAATTGAGCTGTACTTAATTGAAGGAATAGTTTTTAAAGCATGTGTAAGGCAGGTCCTCTTTGAAAGACAATTAAAAATAGAGTTAAAAGGAATTGTTCATTTCAAAATACATTTAAAGCATCATAAGTAGCGATGTTAAAAACCAAGAGGTCTGCAGTCTATTTTGTCTTAATAGAGTCCATCTTTTCACTAGCTGTAAACTTCTTGTTATCACAAGATAATAAAGCTGGTCAGTTAATACTATTTTCAGCAAATGCAGGCTTTGAAGGGCCTCTCAGTAGTTTTGCAAGAGAGATTCAAGTATGGCCATTTTAAATGGGGATAAAGTGATACATATGGGCTAATGAGAAAAATCTCAGATTGTTTAAGAACAGGAACTAGAGTGATACAAACTTCCAATTGACTGTTTGTTTTAGAACGGTTTCTAAAAATCAGGATTTGATTAAAATATTTGATGAGAAAGCCATAGAAACTTAGGCCTCCTATAGTTGATACTGGTTAGATACCACCTGCTGATTAAGAGTCACAAAGACTTCCTGGAATCTTCCTTAATCCTCACCAAAAAGTCACTGGTAGAAGTCCCATTTCTCTTTGTGGCTGTGTTTCCCATTTCAGCAGTTTGTGTTGTCCATGTAAGGTGGCTAACACAGTTTTTCTTTTAAAGGAAGCTTTGCCCGAGTCCCTGACAGAAACGACTTAGCTCCACTACACAGCGGGACCTCAGCCTGGCCTTTACTTTAGGTTTGCTGGTGACAGCCCTACCTTTGCTGCCCAGCCAGGACTTGTGCAGGTTAACTGCTGTGAGCCCCTGAGCTGGCCCTGCTGGTACCGCATGGAGTTCTTGCACAAGGTTAATAACCGTGACTGGTACTTAAAGACTTGGAAGAGTTTTAAAAGGAAGGGGAAAAGCATAGGAAGTGAGCTAGGAGAAGCTTCATTTGCATACAATGCCTGCTCTGCATTTACTGATTTACTTGTTCAGTTTAAATAGTAAACTTTTAACTCCTGTGGAAATTTTGCCAAATTTCATCAATACATACAAGATTATAAATTTTAAACTAACACTGCACAGAAAGACAAAGCTACTTCTTTTTTTAAATACAAATATCTTCTACATTCTATCATATCAGACCCCTGAGTAATACTGTACCAAAGTACAGATCTGAAGAGAAGCTGAGGGCTTAGGCCTCAAACATTAATCTTCAGGTAATTCCACACCAGCGGTGTGACTTGTGACACAGTCAAGCTGGCTAATGCTGACACTTTCCCCTAGCATAGTGTAGTAGGAAATCCTTGCTGACTCCAGGGTTCTCCACGCCTGTCTCCTCCGCTCCCACAGGCAGACGGCATCCTCACTGTGTAACCGTCTGTGGTGAAGTTCACCTGAACCAAAGGTCCTATAATCAGACCTGAAGGACTGTGATGTCCCCAAAGACCTGGGTCAGATTTGGGGAGTTCTTTGGAGATAGTAGAAATATGTTGCACTTTGCTCCACAGTGATTGTACTTTAAAGAAAAAAAAATCCCCAGTTGTTTCTATCTTGCCCCACCTTGCTGTCCCTTCGCTAGTGTTGGTCTCCTCGAGGCTCACACATGGCGTCCTGTGAGAAAGTAGAGAGGCTTGTCCTCACTGCTGTTTGCAGTTTGAAATTCGTCCCGGAGGCGGAACTGCCACTCATCCTCCAGCTCTAAGCGGACAATTGTTTGCCGTAAGGAGCTTCTGTCTTGGCAGATGACACACAGGGTAGCACCTTCCAGGAAAAGGCAGAAATGTGTCTTAGGTGCTGGGCTGAAAGGGGGACCCTGACCTGACATTTCTGATTCAGTCTCAAACCGACACCTCTGAGAAGCAGCTGATTAGGTAAGTAAACTATCAGGATTGTTTTGAGTGAGTAGTGTTAGGGCTTGAAGGGTTTAAGAGTGTGTCCTGAGAAATCTCACCCACAGTGCCACCTGCCCTAGGAACCAGTGCTTTCACCTGTGTTCTAAGGACTGCGTCCTCCACTGCTCCTTAGGATGGGCAGTATTGTGGAGTGGAGGGCCAGCTGTGTGCCTCCAGCGACAGCTCTTCCCACCACCCACAGAAATGTCACACTCTGTTCTCACTGACTCACAGGTCATCCTTTTATTTGTGATGTTTAATCTGCAGTCCAGAGGTAAATTTAGCTCTTTGTATGATGTGTCTCTGTCAAATAACTTTAATATGTATTTCAGAATAGTTAACTAAGGGTTTATGTGTGAGGGATGCAATTACACAAATTTGCAATTTCTGGCCCAAGCAGTACATTAGTGCCTCCACATTACAACAGTACTCCCTCCTTTCAGCGTGTGTACGCTGGTAACATACTACATGCACAAGTGGACTTATTAACCTGATTTGCAAAAACTCATTATTTAATATGTTCTCAAATCTAGATGTTCACCTGCATGTAACATAATAGTGCCTTAGGCTGGATGCGGTGACACATGCCTGTAATCCCAGCACTTGGGAGGCAGGAAGATCAGTGCAAGTTCGAGGGCTGGGCTACAAAGTGAGGCCAGCTTGAACTGCATAAAGCCTGTTTTAAAAAGACCAGGAAAAAAACCATAACAGTGACTGAACTCTCCCCTTCCCCCAAGTACAGAGGTCAATGGCCTTGGTTTAAAACTAAGGTACCCAGATTATTGGCCAAATTAAATGTTAAAGGACGTTCTTTTATGAGGTGTTTTAACTCTGAACTTTTTCTAGTGGGGACGAGTAACACTGACTGACAATCAAGATATTAAATTTGCTTTACCTTTTAGAAACTTAAATTTCTTAAGAAGATCAGCACCTACAAAAGAGTCACAGAGGTACAAGAGAAGTCCACTAAAAAACACCCCTTCAGAATTGACGTTGCTGGAGTGTGGTCTGGAGCTGACGTAGCACATGGCCACCTGCAGGCAGCAAGCAGAGAGAGCGTGGTATCAGATGGGCAGAGCTGCCTAGTGGCTGAGCCCTGCTTTCCTCTGTCAGGGTAAGGCCCAGAGCTTACCCTTCTCCGTGAGGAGTGTGGGGCTATTTAAACTTTGCATCTCTTGGACTTTGCCAAATTTTAACTTGAAAGACTGTGTGTTTTTTATAAGAAAAAAAGGGTATGACAAATTAAAACTAAGAAATAGCCGCTCCTTCTGACAGTGTAACATTTAAAGGAAACAACCCTTTAAGAAGGCATAGCAGGCCTGAATTCAATCCCCAGTTCTGTTAAAAAAAAAAAAAAAGACATATCTATGAAAGATTAAATATTTTTGATCAGCCTTTCATTAGCTATATTTAAAAGTTCCATTGGATAGAAGCTTAAAACAGCATGGATTCAAACGCCTAGCTCTGTATGGCCTCTGTACAGATTTATGATGGAAATCCCAGTGCAGTGAATGAGAAGTGGGAGTTTACTGAGTTGGGTAGCCAGAGGTGCCAGCCCCCCGGCTTGGGTTTCTTAGTGGCTGTAATGACTTAAGCTGCCCATTTTGGAGGTCACAGTGGTAGCTTTCATAGGCCTGGTGGGGGGATGAAATGATTGGTATGAACTCTCAGTAAGTGTTCAATAGTAGCAGCTGCAGAGGTGAGACTGCTGGTCAAACAGCAGTGTACTTACTGGTTACAGGCCTGCTGCACTGCACACAGGTACTGTCAAGACTATTACGATTACATCTGAATAGTTTTTGTCTATGAAAAATCTGTCATGGCCCAACTCCCAACATAGATTATTATTACTGTTTTTAATGTATTTAGTACAGGGTCTACAAGGTCTCACTACACATAGGACTCGTACTGATTCTCCTGTTTTCAGTCTCCCAAGTGGCTACCACGCTCAGTGTGCCCTGGGGGCCCGGCCAGCACAGCACACCGGGTATCAAACCTGGCCGCTGTGCTCTGCCTAAGCAGGTGCTTTAGTCCACTGAGCTATCTGGCCAACCACAACATAGATTATTGAAACATCATGAATATTAAAACTTCCAAAATTGAATACAATTTTGGCCTGGATATGTTAAACAGTGTGTGTACAGACCTATATGTTTTTCAGTACACACAAAGTGAAAACCCTAGAAGATGTAGTGGAATGAAATGTTTTTTTTCCTGCTGCAGGTGGATTTACTTCTTATAAAGAACCAGGCCTGGTGTGGTGGCACATGCCTATAGTTCTAGCACCTAGGATGCTCAGGTATGATGCTCCTGGAGGCTTGAGGCCAGCCTGGACTACATAGCAAGACCATGTTGGGAAAGAAAAAAAAACTTAGTGATTTTAAGGAGGACATATTACATTAATGAAGGTAGTATAGGTGAAACTCTAAAATATAATTTGTTTTTTCTTTTTTTGGCGGAACCGGGGAATGAACTCAGGCCCTTGCACTTGCCAGGCAAGTACTTATTCTACTAAGCCATTTCCCCAGCCCCAAAAATAATTTTTTAAAATTAAAAAATAATCTTTTGTTGTTGTTGTTTTTTTGGTACTAGGGATCAAACTCAGGACCTTGTGCTTGCCAGGCAGGTGCTTATGCCACTGAGTTATTTCCCTGGCCCTAAAATATAATTTTAAGGGACAGCTTAATGGCAGAAGGCTGGAAGTACAAGTGAAAATTAACAAAATAAAAATAAACCCAGAGAACTTGAGAATGTTAGAGGCAGGAGGGGGAGGAGCGCCAGCTGCCCATGGCTGTGCCCTAGCATAGCCCTTGCGCACAGGATAGCCCTGCAATGCCAGAACAGTGGCCCTATGTGGCCACCACCACTGAGGTCATCAGGGCCAGCCATTAGGGCTGAAAGATGCATGGTTGCTGCTCATTCAGTATAGCAAGAGGGACGGGGCTGGGGATGGGTCGCCATCCCCTTGTGTGAGCCTTTCCAGAGCATGTCACAGGCTCCCTTCTGTTACTTAACCTGTCAAACCAAGCCACCAAGGGAGGAAATGGGTGAACGCTGGTGAGTACAGTGCCACCCACCACCCTTACCTCCTGCCCGACATTAAGGTAGCAGTCGACGGCCAGCACGGGGCTCTTGAAGTTGTGGATGGCTTTGGGGAAGAGCTTGTAGGCGGCATGCTGCAGGAACTTCTCCAGGAGGAACTGGGCTGGGGCAGCCAGCAGCGTGTGCTCACTGTCAGGGGCGCACACGTACTGTAGGGGCCCGATGGGAGCCGTGCTCTCGGATGCCTGCAATGAGCCAGCCCAGACAGGCTTGGAGGAGCGGCCACATCTGCGTCTCGGAAACCCCAGGGACTGGCCCTACACCGACTGCCTCCGCACACACAAGTTCATAACTTAGGCTTGCTAGGAGACATGGACACTGTAGCAGTGTTCTGTCATAACTGTTTACAGGAGTGTAGTCTCCAGAGCTGAGACCATCTTTAGCCTGCAGTTGATGGATAATTAAAAGTGAGGGGAACTGCTGGGTTAGTAACAGCACAGTGATAAACTATGTTCTAGTGTGTGCCATTCAGTTTTAGTCCTGCATTTTCCTCTTTTGGGAATGAATGATACAGTAGTATTTAATGTAAATTGTACATACAGCAGGCAGGAGAAAGTGGGAAGTAGGTTTTTTGGAAAGTAAGGCCCAACAGGAAGTCCCTGACAGTGTCCAGTGTGTATGGGCTGATTACTGTCTACTTCTGGCTCCCAGCCTCAAAGCACTTTCTGTGTTCAGCTAGGTAGTCTGCTGCTGTGAGTGACTGGATGTTTGTAAATCTCGGAGTGGCCCGTGCAGTTCTCTTTACAGGTTTTGGTCTGCACTACTGTCTTAAAAAGCGAATCTGCAAAGGACCTGACAAGCATTTCTGAATTACATTTTTCTCAGGCATTAATAAGGAGCATTGCTGTAACATATGGCTGTCCCATGACTAATCCCTGATGGAATGGTTGAGGCTAAGTTTGCAGGAACAGTTGCTCTGAATTGTCAGTTTGTGCTGTGATTCTAGGTGAGTCTCTGGTAACAAACGAAGCTGATGTTAAGACTTCCTTGGGCTGTGTGTGGTGCTGCACAGCTGTAACCCCACCTGCTGAGGAGGCTGAGGCAAGAGGGTCACAAGTTTGAGGCCAGCCTGGGCAGCTTAGAGGCATCCTATCTTCAATAAGTAAAAATTAAATAAAATTAAAAAGGGCTGAGATGGAGTTTAGTGGAAGAACACTTGTATGCCATTCATGGCCTGAGGTCAACTCCAAGGCCCTTGGGGCTGGGGCTGGGGCTGGGGCTGGGGCTGCAGCCTCGACCTTTAGTCTCTAGTTATCATTGCTTCCATGCCTTCTCTTTCTCTCTCATGTTAATAGTGGTTTCTCCCTGGGCACAAACAGCGCATACACTTTGGCAAGAGGGACTTTCTACTTCTCTTTTTAGTGTAAATTGCTTCATGCCAGTATCTTGAACAAAGACACAGTATTCATAAGAAATTACTGGACTTCCCACAAGCTGAGGCTACTTGTGGGTCTCTAAGGCCTGAAAATTGAGAGCTGCTTTTCCACTCTAGAGGCCGCACCCAGCAGCAGCCCTGCAGCTGTCACCACACCATGAGGTGAATACATTGAATTATACTGTAAATACTGGATATTATTTTGAAAAAAGAAAAAAGCCAAAGCCTGTGAATGTTCAAAATAATAAAAAGTAAAATGGGCCTCAAGGCTAAGTTCTACCATAAACTGCACCATGCTGAAAAAAAAAATACATATATGAAGAAGACTGTCAAGATGGATGGGAAGTGAGAAACTGGTAAAGTAACCATGAGAAAATTGCAGGGAGGGGCCGGGGAGATGGCTCAGTAGAATAAGCGCTTGCCTGGTAAGCTCAGGGGCCTGAGTTCAATCCCCAGTTCTGAAAAAAAAAAAAAAAAAAGACCTGCCTGTCTGCCAGGCTGTGGAGTGGTCTTTGGAGCAGAGATGGTTCCCGACTTTCTAGTACAGTTAAATGAAGATACAGACAAGGCAGGGAACAGGAAGTCCCTTTTGCCAAGTGTGTGCCCTGTTTGTGCCCAGGGAGAAACCACTATTAACATGAAAGAGAAAGAGAAGGCATGGAAGCAATGGTAACTAGAGACTAAAGGTCACTTCTTAAGAAAACCACCTCAGTAAGAAAGGCTTGTAGGCCTCTGGGCTTTGGTCTCAAGAAGGCCCATGACACATTCTGAACTGAATGAAAGTCACTTTTTGCCTTCCTCAAGTTGGTGATAAAAAAGAGCCTTTCTCCCCATACACCTTTGGATGTTAGTACCTAAGCTGTAGTTGTCGGGCAGCCTAAGCGAGGTGTACTTTGGGGAACAGCACCCCCCCCCCCCCGTCTGGCAGTCCTTAAATGATGGCACACGAGTGCATTCTTAAGGTCTTGTACAAGTCATTCCATATAATTACTATGGACCACAGGGTCAGTTTGGAAAACCACCATTACTGTGATGCTTCTGCTAAACAGCCTTGAATCACTGTAGTCATCATGTGAGCCATAACATTTTATGTATGTATTTAGTGCAGGGTCTCACTACACAGATCAGACTTGTAGTGATTCTTCTGTTTTCAGCTTCCCAAGCACTGGGTTTACACGCGCACGCCACCACATCCAGTCTCATTCACCGTCTCAGCACACCCCAATAGCAGGGCCAGCATGGCAGGCCCAGCATGGCAAGCTGGGCCCGGTGTCTGCCTAAGCAGGTGCTTTAATCCACTGAGTTATCTGGTCGGCCCCATACTACCTGTTTTGAACAGTGAAGTCAAGCTTGTGAGACTTACCATGATCTTTGGTTTAATGATGAAGTCCCTCTGCCCGCCAACCTGCACGTGCTTCTTCATGAGACTGAAGTTGTTGAAGCGGCAGATAAGCAGGCCACTACTGTTGGTTCTCAGGTTGAAGTCTACATCTTCGCAGAAATACCTAAGTCACAACCACAGCGATGGGTACTCTTGACTGCCTGTCACAACTGTGCACAGAGATCAAATGGTGGCTGATAGGAGCACCCCGAATAATTGACCTGGCCCTGGTGGAGCTGGCCCTCAGCACTGACTCCCAGACTGCCCTGGCAATTGTGGTAAAGTCACGGATGGAAACAAGGGTCTCAGGAGTCCTGTGTGCTTGGGCAGAAGGGCCCCGGGCATGTTCCGAGATTCTGGCTCCACAGAGGGCAGTGCACCTGCCACGCCAAACATGTGCAAGCGGAAGCAGCAGTGACCAGGTTAGAGGGGGACAGAGAGGGACTTCTCGGGCCTTGGCCTTGCTGCTGGGCACACTGAGGTTGCCAGGGGTAAGGACACAGTTTATGCAGTAAGCATGCCCAAGGCAGCCTGCTCACCTGTCTGCCTTTTCCGACAGGACCTCGGCCTCTGGGTCTTAACATTTGGGGAAAGTGATTTCCTTGAATTCTCAAAGTGACTGAGGGCTTAGTCTTGCTTGTTTGTGAGTGCACACAGACTTGGATCAATTCAACCATTTTGGGGTCTGTTTTAGTTTCTGTTGAAAGTAAAGGTGGCTTGCATGTCTTTCCTAAGGATCTTACACTGTAACATCTATTAATGACCCCAAATTGGTGATGAATCACGTGTGCCATACCTGGCTGTTGATTATCATTGAAAGTGTTGAAAGGTTCAGCATCACTGGCCTATCTGAGGAGCTTAGGCTCTAAGACAGAATAATAAAAGCACCACCAAAGCTGGAGCCGGGCCTCAAACCCCAGGCCCTCCAGAACTGCCTCCCTTGGGAGCCTTCCTACCTGTTGAAGTCATACTGCACATTCTGAGTCAAGTCAATGTTGAGGAGAATAAAGTCGTGTACGTGGCACCTGGAGAATGGGGCCTTCAGGCTCTGAGGTGTCAGTTTGCTGCTCCACTTCTGTATGCCCAGGATCGCATAGTGAATGATTTTCGGTGTCGATTCGATATGCTGCAGGACACTTTTCAAGGACACGTTCTTACTGGAAACTCCTGCTTCCACAGACTGGCTAGAAGAGGCGAAGGCAAGAGAGGATCATTGAGGACGGGCTGGCACTGTGGGCTCGTTATGCTGGAACAGATGCAGCAGGGGGTGGTCTTGGTGTTGACCTGGAGAAGAGGGTGGTCAGCTCAGCACCCCTGTGGCCCCACACTGCCCACAGGGCTGCCTTCACCATGGGACTTCTCACTTGAAGAGAGAAGTGCAGTGTTTAAGGAAACAGGGACCTGTTTCCTGTCTGCCAAAGAGATGACCAGAGTTACTGCCACTAAAGAATGCTTCTCTGCTCTGGTCACAGTGAAAGCATGGGTGAAAATGTCCCTGGCTTCAAATCTATGGCAAAAACAGGGACAAAAATACCTGCCTGAAGGGGCTTCAGGGTCACCTGACACAGGGAGGACACTACTGAGTTTTAGGGCTATTTATTGTGTGGGACTTAGGGTTTAGCCCCACTAGCCTTTGCAAGCAATGGCCACCACCCCTGGTGTTGTGACATCAGCAGTACCCCCAGGGGTGTAGCACTGTTGAGGAGGAGAACCACAGCACAACTTTACAGGTAATGGACTTGGCACTGAGGTGAAAGCACCTGACTTCACCCACATAGTTAAGAGCCAGAGCTGGCACTATGGTCAGGTTTTCTGATTCGGATGCAGCAGTCTATAGAGGAATGCTGGTGTCACAACAGTTTCTAAGCACCCCACACTGTGAGGCAGAAGAGGTCCCCTTGCCTCTAAGCAGAAAGACCCACCGCACCACCCAGCGTCCACATGTGCAGTCTTTCCCAGAAGGCTCAGAAATGTCACTACCTGGTCTGCTCCTGAGCACTGTGGATATTCCACAGGACACACGAGTCATCCATCACCACAATGAAAGGCCACACGCACTGGCGCTTAACGCCCAGCTCCTCCAGGCGGTTCCTCTCCAGCTCTAGGTTGTGATACGACAGCTCCTTAATGAGGAATCTGGCAGCACCTGGAAGGCAGCATGACCACAGCTAGACATCCTCGCGCCAGGAAGCAGCACGTGGGCACCGGGAGGCGGCCTGGCCCCGGTCACTGTGAAGGGCATGGAGGAGCAGGGCAAGGAGCCAGTTTCTTTGGGTAGGGTGTGGCTGCCGCCTCTGGGAAGCACTGCTGCTGAGTTGGTCCCTAAGGTGCCACAAGAAGTTCTCTGAGGCAGCAGCCACACGCAGGCCCTATACCAGGGCATAACCAGAGCCACAGTGGGGGAGGCTACTTCCATGGACCCCGGGAGGTGCATTCAGGACATGGGCGACAGCACCTCTGAAGAAAATCCTGCCACCTTTCCTTAGCTCTGCTTTTTGCCAGAGGGAGAAAGGGATGGTGAGAAGAGACTAGAAAGGCCACTCCTGATTCCACTGCTTCCTAGCCCAGGGACCCTGCCCAAGTCGGCTCTGCTGAGTCTCCGATCCCTACCTCTAAGAAGGTCATGACGGCCTGAGTTGGGCGGTGCTCAAGACCGAACCTACAGGGCAAGGGTCGAAAGTGTTGGCTATGATTAAGGTAATCATTAGGAAATGACCCATTTTAACAAGTGGCCTGCCCTAAAATGAGATGAAATAGAGACGCTGATGAAGCAAGGAGCCTGAAACATGCTATTGAGTATATGGAGGAGCCCGACACTGCTTGAGTAGATAAGCAGTGATAATGAGATGCAGGAAAAGCTACTTTCGAAGAGCAAGTGTTTGGCACTTTGCCTTCCTAAAGGTATAAAGGCCACATAGGAAACAGCTGCCATGATGGCAATCAGGGTGAGAGGGTTGACAGGGACGCCCACTTGTACTTCTACTGACAGTACTAGGAGTGCTTGCAGAACGGTTACATAAGGAAAGGTTACCTCCACTGGGCAGGAAGATATAAGGAGGTATGCTGACCCCAGACAGCACACCTCAGGTGGCAAAAATAGTAAAACTTCCAGGAAATCCTACGAGAAATGAATTCAAGCAATGTTGCAGATAAAACACCAAAACTTAGTTGAATTTTTATAAGTTAAAAATGAACTGGGGCTGGGGAGATGGCTCAGTAGAATAAGCCCTTGCCTGGCAAGCACAAGGGCCTGAGTTCAATCCCCGGTTCCGCAAACAAACAAAAACAAACCCAAAACAGTTTAATCCCAGCCAGGAATGGTAGGACACACCGCTAATTCTAGCACCCTAAACTGAGGCTGGAGGATCTCAAGTTCAGGCCCAGTCTGGGTGACTTCATGAAGGCAGTCACACAGAGCCTGGATACCAGCCCTCCTCTGATGGTCGGATGAACTTTGACAAAGGGCGTCAAGGCCATGCACAGGGGACAGGACTGTCTGTCCCACTGGTGGTACTGCAAAGCCTAAACACCAACATCCATAAGAAAGGGTGCACTCTCACTGTACACTATAAAAATGAAAATGGAATTAAAGACAGCTTAAAACCTAGGACTCTAGGACTTTTATTTATTCATTTATTTTTGTGGAACCAGGGATTGAACTCAGGCCCTTGTGCTTGCCAGGCAAGCACTTATTCTACTGAGCTAACTCCCCGGCCCCTATAGGACTTTTAGAAGACGTTTGTGACATTGAATTTGGCAGTACTTTCATACATAAGATACCTAAAACAGCTGGTGATACAGCATGGCACAGTGCCTGCTTGGCAAGTGCAAGTTCGAGTGTATTTCCTGGCACCAAAAAAGATACCTAAAACACAGGTACTAAAAGAATGGACAGGGTGGATTTCATCAAAGAACGTTTGTGGATGCAAGGACAAAAAAATGGAAAGACAGCCCACGAAATGGGTGAACATCTGGTATTTACAAATATATCTGGTCAGGAGTTAATTCTGTCTAACAACAAACCCTTAGCAAACCTATACAATGGGTGAAGAACAGGAGGTGGCATTTTCTGTGGTTACATGGGTGGCCAACAGGCACATGAAGAGATGCCTCCATTCCAGAAATAGAATGCCCCTCAGGCACCCACAGGGATGGGGGAGGCCTACCTAGGCAGTGCCGGGTGCGGCCCAGCGCCTGCTCGGGAGGCTGCCAGGGCAGACGGTGATCAGGGCGGCAGCAGCGCTCCCTGAGCTCTGGTGCAGGCTGCACAGCACCTGCTGGGGCATCTCAGGGCTCTGAACCCCTGGGGGGCACAAGAGGCCCCTTCCAGCCTGCTAATGCATCCCTGCTCAGGCCCCTTGTCCTGTCAGTTTCAGCCTGAGTGCTCGGCTGGAACACAGCTACTAGGGAAGACCTAGCCTTTCCCAGGGTACTACCCACCAGTGACCAAGGGGAGACAGTGGACCCCTGGCAGGAGGCTCTGCAGAGGTCAGGACCTCCGAGGCTTCCTGCGTGGGAGTGGCGTTCAGTGTTGTGGCTGCCCCCCAGCCCAGGAGCCCCTTACCTACGCCTGCGTTATTGAACATGCCAGGGAGCACCAGCATGATGTGGTTGGGCCAGTACTTGCGGTACAGCGGCATCTCATATTCTTTGACCACCAGCAGGTGAAGGTGGCTGATGCCCTCCATGGCGTGGAAAAGGTTTAGGAGTCCATGCTCGTGGCGACCACTGGAAGGAGTGAAAATAGGGCTCTTGACTGCATTCAAATTCTGCTGAAAAGGAAGCAAAACGATAGAGCAAAAGGGAGGTAAAACCGTGAGAGACGAGACCCAGTCCAGCGGCCGCGGGCCTCGCCCGGCCTGACCCACCTTATCCGAGACCAGAGGCAGCCGCATACTCTCCAGGTGTTTGCCCTGCTTGCTGAAGACGAAGTGACTTTCTTTGGACTTAGGGATGATGAAGTACAGCTGCACCTCTTCTCCCAGCATAGAGGAGGAAAACGTGAATGCGTGAAGGGTGGAGTCTGACATCTACATTTGCGAAGAGGAAAGGGAAGAAGAGCTCAGCTTCCGGGCTCCCAGGCCACTCGTCAGGATTCGGGGGCCTGGGGGCAAAGGGACTAAGCTTGTGTGGCTGCCACACATACTTGTCCTCTAGCAGCTGCCACTGATGGGCAAAGTGGTAGGCTGGCATCAGCTTTGCATTCCTCGTGGCCTAGGGGTCATACACCCCACAGACACATTGTCCCCAGGCACAGCAGGGTGAATGAGATGCTAGGTCTGGTGTCATTAAGACATTTCTGGGCCTCTGCCTTCTTGGCTGTATCAGAGCCCAGAGATTTCCTAACTTCAGTTAGCCCAGAGCTCATCTCCCTTGATGAGCTCTCTTAAATGGGAGTCTACCCTATTTTTAATAGGTTTTTTTTTTCCAGTACCAGGAATTAAACTTATAACCTTGCACTTTGCTAGGCAGGCACTATGCCCACTTGAGCTAAATCCCCGGCCCTAACTATTTTTAAAGTTGCTAGAAAGTTGCATGGTGTCCCTAATCTGTCTGTGGACCACCGACATGATAGGTCTCTAAGGGGCAGACAGGGCCGGGGAGATGGCTCAGTAAAATAAGCGCCTCTCTGGGAAGTGCAAGGGTGTGAGTTCAATCCCAGGTACCTACCTGGGGGATGGGGAGGTGGAATTTAAGGGGCAGACAATACAGATAATAGATTTGTTTTGTTGTACCAGGGATCCAACCCAGGACCTCATGCATGTGAGGCAAGGCTTCCACCTCTGAGCTACAACTCCAGCCCCAGGATAAGAGAAATTTTATCAGCTTTCCCAATAGTTTTAACCTAGATACTGGATTTTGTGTAAAACTATTCTTTCTTAATTCGAGTTTTGCTTCATAAATATGGAATTCTTCTGTAATCACATAGAAACTATAAACTGAGATTTTTTTGTTCAGAAATTTTCTAAAAGCTATGACTTACAGGCCCTGATCAGACTTACGTATGTTCTGTAAATCACTGAGCTGATTTTGGAGCAGCCTAACAAGAAAATAAACCTGATACAAAAGATGTGTGTGCTAGTTCTCTATGCACCCTTCCAGCACCTTGCTGTACATATATGTGGTGGTGCCAAGCGTGAGCAAGCCTTCACACCAGGCTATCCCTTAGCCCTTGATATTTCCAGACAGGGTGTCACTCAGTTATCCACAGTGGGTTGGAACTTGCAATCCTCCTGCCTTTGCCTCCAGCCCTGTTGGGATTCCAGGCATGCACCACTGCCCCCAGTCTATATTGGGGCGCATGGGGAGTGTGAGGCCCTGGTCCTGAGGATTGGCAGCAGGTTCAGGGAGTCTGCTCTACAAAGCCCCGAAGAACCAAGAGTTGTTCCCAGGTGAATTGGGGGAAGTCATAGGGAATAGCCTGGCCAGCGTGTACTCCTATCATCAATGCCTGGCTCCATTGAAACTATAAAGGGGGTTTTTAGTTCAGAAATTTTCTAAAACCTAGGACTTACAGGCCTGGATCAGAATCACGGGGTGGGTTGGGGTTCACTCAGCACTAACGGACAGCGCATAGCCCAGTACCATGGCTATCTCTCCCATGCACCTTTCTCCCTCAGCTCTGGCTGCATGGTCGATACCAACCCAGCAGGACAATGAAGATGGGACAGCACCCTGCCTGGCCTGGGAAGGCACCACAGATGCACTGCCTCACCCTCGAGTCCCACCCATCTCCAGCGCTCTGGTGGGTGCAGGGTGCACACCTGGGAGGCAGCGGTGAACTCCATGTACTGGTGGCACTGCTCGCAGTGGTGGAAAGTGTTGTAGGCTGCGTACTGGGTCAGCATCATGGACACGGTTTCTCGCTTCCGCGGCTCCTGGCCTTTGCTCTCCTGTGATACCTCTGTGTGGTGGGTGGAGCAGAGACCCATTTGTCCTGGGCTCTGCAGGACCCAATTCCTCCGATCCCAGAAGTGCCCGGCTATGCCAGAGAAGCCCCCCTCCAAACTGTCGACCACTCCCACCTCGCTTGATGCCCCCCAGCTGCTCAGTGTACACCAGGCTCATGCGGCGGTACTTGGGGTCGTGCACGCTCGCGTCGAAAGGCATCTTGCTGAAGCTCTCTAGGTCAGGCCACGGCTCCCCATCAGCCTGGCTGGAAAGGCTGCTTTCGCTGTGGTCTGGCCAAAGAGATGGATGTGAGGTAGAAGAGCTGTAACTGCTGGGTACCCTGGGTCTTCAGACCAACCCCAGACCCCCACACATGTCCGTTCCGGCCCAAGACTGAACCACAGATGGCGAGCTTCAGGGCTTTCATGCTGCAAGTGGCTGCAGTGGCATGAATGGTATATGTACCTCATCACTGCTTTATACGCTTAGACTTTCACCTGTGAGATTCAAGAGATTGATACCCAAGAAGTTTGGAGGTGTGGCCATGCCTGCCACACAGGTGAAGCCCTGGGGCCTCTGTGGCACATGTGCTAGTCCGAGTCTTGAGGCTGGGCTCAGCGGGGCCCAGGCCCTGGGCACATCCTGGCGCTCTGGGAGGCTAGGCAGGAAATTTGCAAGTTTGAGCCCGGCTTGGGCAATTTATTGAGACCCTGCATCAAAAAAGTAAGGACTGGGGGGGTGTAGTAGAAAGTTCACTTCTCAGTACCCTAGAAGATAAATCAAGCCCATGGACAGGAAATACAGCTCTTATCTAAGACAAATACACTGTTAATGTGTATGCCCTAAGTTTACACTCAAGTATCATGTAGAATTTGAAGCTTAAGAAGTTGTCACTGTGCCTCCCTGACTGCAAGGATGGTGACTGGTGTTGACCTGGGAAAAGCACACAAAGCAGAGCGACGGGCCTCCACCCCTTGGTGCAGGGGCAGAGAAGAGCTAGGTGCTGAACAGAAGAAAATTCAAGCAAGGAGACTGGTGCCGGAGCTGCACAGATGACCTGGCCCTGGCTCCCATCCCCTTGGCTCTGGCCTTGTGGTCCTACCCCCCTTTGAGGACTTGACGTGCTTTTAGGACAGCCTGGAGTTCTGGGTAACCTGCGGTGAGCTGGGCCACAGGTGTGAATGGGAAGGTGCAGTCACACATCTGTGCGGAAACTGGAAGGAGGGACACAGCAGGAGCCGCAGAGGATGATTAATAAGGGTATTTTTTTCTCACTCTTGCCCACACTAAACCAGTCATGCGGCCTTGAACCCTCTGCTTTCCGAAGCTGCCTGGCTCTGGAGGCTGTGGGAAGGGGCAGTGTCATCCTCAGGGACCAAAATGACCCCAGCTGCCCTGACAGATCCCTAGCAGCAAAGGGTATTTGGGGTTTTAGTACCGGCTCTGGAGCGGAGCAGGCCACTCTAGGAGCCCTGTCTTCTGCAGAGAGCCCTGCTGCATGGACAGCGCCCACTCTAGGCAGCAGGGCGGCCATGGCCGTGCTTGGGGCCCCGCGGAGAGTGCCGCACTGGTGGCTGAGCCAGGGAGTCCGCGAGACCCCGTCCCTAACACACAGCCACCCGGGCCAGCGCTCTCACCCGCGTTAATCTCCTCCTCGTCGAACACGTCCACCTCCAGCAGCCGGATGAGCATGCGGAAGAGAATCCTGAGGAACTGGAGGTAGGAGCCGGTCTTCCCCACCTGCTCGGGAGAGGCGCGTTCACACGGGTACTGGCCAGTCCCGCCATCCCCTCCACCCCGTCCCGTCCTGTCCCCACCTGCGGTGGCCCGGTGAGCAGCAGCCGGCGCGGGTGGCCGTTGTGTGCGCCCGCTGCGGCGTCAGGCCTGTGGCCGTGGTCAGCGTGGTGTTGTCGCGCTGTGGTCCAGCGCCGGTAGTAGCGTGAGAGCTCCTCGTCACTTGCGTCACCCTTCGGCCGCGGCCGCAGCGCGCTCACCCAGGCCACATCTGCATGTGGCAGCAGGGAGGAGGACAGCGCAGATGATGCGCCGCGCGGGGCGCCCAGCAGGCGGTAGGCGGCGCGTGACAGGATCACCACAGGTGGCAGCACGGGCGGCGGGGGTTTGGGCCCAGGCGCAGCGGAGCCCCTGGAGTCGCACTCTGGGCGCGGGGCGTCGCCGGCCTCGTTGGGCCCCGCACTGCTGGCTGGGCTCTGGGGGCCAGGGCTCGCGGGCCGTCGCTGGGCCTGGCCAGCCGTGCTGGAGGAGCTCACGCCATTCTCCATGACGGAACCTGGAAGAGGACGTGGGTCAACATTCCCTCCTGTTGAGGAGGGCAAAGCACGAAAGAGCCAGGCCGGCTTGCTATGGGCTGAGGACGCAGCTGCAGTCTGCCAAGGCCCTCAGCCTCCCACGCCTCCCTACTGCTGCCCTGCCTGCTGGTGGCATGGCCGGGGGACACCACGCCCTCCTCTGGCAACAGCCCTGCCTGTACCCAGTGGTGCTTCCAGGCCCAGGGGACACAGCTCGAGTCCAAATCCCTCACAACAGCAGGCGCCCAGGCACCGAGGGCCGCACCCTCGTTTTCCAGACCACAGCAGGAAGTCTGTACCGGCGTGTGTGTGTGTGGGGGGGGAAGGATGAGGTGGTGCAGGTCTCGAGCACTGCGCAGTCCCCACAGAGTGGTGGCCTTTCTGAACCGGCGTCCCTGCTCCCTGCTGCCCCACGCAGCCCCTTTTGATGGAGGGCTAAAGCTTCCCTTTCAGGACTAGGGTCCAACCCAGGGGTCCACCAAGCTACACCCTCTGGTCTTTTTTTATTTTGCTTTTGTGTCTGGCTCAGTTGCTACACTGTTCAGGTTGAGCTTAAACTTGCGATCCTCCTGCGTCTGCCTACAGAGCGCTGGGAGTACAGGTTTGCGCCTGGCTCTGCCCCTGGGCATTCACTGAAATCATGGCTCATTCTTGCGAACACTGCGACAGGGACCAAGCCCCTCTCAGCTTCTTGGGGTCGCGGTCCCTGAGCCCTTCTGAGGGTCTCCGGACTCAGTACCTCCTCTTCCCCCCTCCAGAAAAAGAGGAGCGGGGCACAGACCCGAGGTTCCAGTGAAGGCGCTGCTGTTGCTCTGCGGCCGCTCCAGGTCGGCGAGCAGCTCGTCGGGGTCGGGGTCGCGGTCGGGGTCGGGGTCGGGGTCGCGGTCCATCTCCAGGTCGTGCTCACTGGCCAGCGGCCTCTCGGTCTCCTTCCCGCTGAGGTCGAGCACGGCTGTGGGCCCCCTCAGGACCTCCTTGGAGACGTAGCAGCAGGCCAGGCCCACCTCCTGCTCCAGGGCGGTGCGTGTTAGGTAGCTCGAGTCGATTAAGCGGAGGTCACAGTACTTGAGGGACCTATGCGGAAACCGCAGTGTCGGCGGCCTGCTGGGCGCAGCCTGCCTGGGGCCCGAGTCCGAGCAGCCCTGGGCTTCGGGTCAGCTGAGGCTGCGACCTCTACTCTGCGCTTCGCTGTGTCGAGGGAGAATGGCACGGGCAAAAGGCACAGTGCGCAGCATCAATCGCGGCTGTCATGGTTGCCGCCCAGTCTGTGCACCCAGATGGTGGCCGTGTGGATATCAGATCCTGCTTTTCCTCTCAGCACCCCCTGGTGCCTGCTTCAGCTCTTCCCAAACGTGAACCCCCCCCCCCCCCCCCGTCCACCGAGACGCGGGCGCCCCCGCAGTACGGCCAGCAGAAGGGCTCTGCTTGGCACAGCCCTGCACAAAACAGTCCTCGCTGCCCACTAGACCCATGAAGGAGGCGCGGCAGCCACCGTGGGCAACGGGTCACGCACGCCGTACCTCGGAAAGGTCTCTCCGAGCGGGTCTTTGCCAGTCAGGATCACGATGCACGGCAGTCCTTCAAGGTCCTGATACGTCCGCGGCACCCACTCCTCCAGCTCGTTTCCCCGCCACGTCTGTAGGACGAGACCCACACGATGCCATTAAAACTCAAACGCCTTGTTCAAGCTTCCGCCTTTTTAGAGTTTCTTCATCTCTTTAGGTATGTGTGGGCACGTCTTCTGACTGCGGCTTTAAAAAGCATACACGAGATAAGTCTAGGAGAATGTGGCCTTCAGCTTTTAATCTCAAAAGACAAAATAGGAGACCCTGGTCCAGCTCAGGCATTCCCCATGCAAGCTAAGAAAACCCATGGTGACATGCCAACTAGTGTCCAGACGCTCCTGGGATCTGGCTGGGCTCCCTACTGTGCCTTCTTTCCCAGATGGGCTGGCCCTGAAGGGCAGTTGACCAAAATGACTGTTTTA